TATATCCTGCTGCTCCTCCAGCGGCGACGGCCATGAGGGGGCCACTGTTGCGGCTAGGCGGGACAGGAGCCGGGTCTGATGCGCTCTCCAAAGCTGACATTCGGGCGATTCGGCCGCCGGGCAAGACTTCGTATCCGCTCGTGGTCTGGGCCGGCGCTATCTTAACCGTAGACGGTCCTTGCCTAGAGGGTGACGGTTGGTTGAACACACTGCCTTTCTGGCTCCCACGTCTTCTTCTTTTGGCGAGCAAGATGCATGCGAAGATGAGGCCGGCAAGCAACAGGGCGCCTACCACGCTGCCGATAACGATACCGGCAATGGCACCACCTGATAGTCCTTTGGATGCAGCTGCCGTATTTGACGGGCTCGGGGTCGCCGTTGCCGTTGGGGGTGCGAAGGTCATAGTAGGGAAAATGGAGGGTAGCGTGACTCCGGCACAACGCTGGTCGATGTTCGAGTTGTAGCAGCATGTGTCAGTAGAGTTAATACCACCAGATGCGCAATAGGAGCACAATCCCACGGTGCTGTTGCCGTATCCACAGTTCTCCTTCTCGTTGGCGACGCCTTGAATGCAGTTGGAAGATGACAGAGAGCCGGCAGGCAGAGCGCAGTTGGTGAAGTCTGCTCGAATTTGATTGACGAGATTGCTGCCCGGGTTACCGCAGAGACTGCTGTCCGAGGTGAGCAGAGCCTCACTTTGTGCGAATTCGGCCTTTGATTCACGTTAGCAACTGTCGCAACTGCTGCCAATTCCACGAGTCACTTACACAAGTGTCGGCGCACACGGGTCGTGAGTTGGATGCAGTCAAATTGCATGCGTCGATCGAATTCTGAACAATTGAGTTGCAGACAACTGTAGCCGTGAAACGTGCATATAGCTCGTCCGGGTTGGTAAGATTGACGTTGCTACAGCCAAGTAGTGTTTGATACCTGGTTCCGTGTGAGCAAAAGCATTTACGAAATCGCTGATGGATGAGCTTACTTCTCCCGCACGTATGTTGTCTCAAGATAAGACGACATCTGCTGATCAAATGTTTCTCTGCTGGACACATATTGAAGGAAGGGGCTATTAAGGATGGTCAGTGTAGGTCACGGCGCTTAGTGATTACACAACGTACAAAATCCCCGCCACAAAGCCTGTAGTCGAAACGGATGCTGACTGAAAAGCTGAACATGTCGTCGATCCCTGCAGAGAAATACAGCTTGACTGCGCCGAAACCACTGCCGCGGACAGCACTGACGAAAGTGCTGCTCTCGCTATTTGACCCATCTCTCTTCCTCTGCCTGTAGGCTTTCCTTTACCGGTGGTTGAAAATGTCGTTCCGTAACTCGTGGCCACCAGCTTGGAAGGCTCGATTTGAAGTCGTTGATCAGAGAAGGATCCCGTTCATGACTATCTTTCCAAGACTTCACAGATCGTCGTCCCGAAGGAATTTCTTGGCGGGGCGAACGGGAGATCGTCGTGAACGTTTGACAGTCAAGGTAAAGAGTGCTTGTGGCTCTGAGAGATGCTGGACGAGTGATAGTCGTAACCAAAAAGGATTCAGGCAGTCGTTCAATTGATTTTGTAAAGAGGCCGAATCGTTTGCACTGAGCTGTTGCTGTTGTTGTTGTTGTTGTTGTTGTCGTCGGGAAAAAGAGGCAAAACGGCGGGTAGGTGGTTGATCAACTGTGTCAATTGAGAAAATAGCTCCAGGTGGGGGCCGAGGAAGGTGAGAGACTGTCGAATGCTCGGGAATTGGGTCGCGATTAACGTATGGACATGGAAATCGGATTGATATTTCGTCGCGGGAAGGAGGTTGACCAAGAGATTTAGAAATAGGTACTCGGGGAACTGCACCACTAGATTGGTGGGTTGCGAGAGGTAAGAGGCTGAACGAGAGTAAGTAAGTGAAGGCAAACAAAGGTTGATTGACAATATTCGGGTAGGAATACAATTAGGAGGATGCAGTTAAGATCCGAGATTTGTGAGGAAATTCGACGTGTCACGGTCGGGCTCGTCGAGGCGAGAGAAGAAGGGAAAGGCGATGATGTTGTTTTGAGGCGGGACGAAGCTCGCAACCACACAAACACACACACACTCACGCGCGGGAGGGAAGGGGAAGGGGAGGCAAGAGGAGCACTCTGCGGCAGGTACGGGAGGACCTTGGGGAAAATAGGGAAATTTTGGAAGGCAGCAAGCAGCGCGAGGGACATGGGATGGGCACATGGGCACAGCCGATTATCAGAGGTGCGGTGGAAGGTACCCTCTCAAGTCTTCCCACGCTTCCTTCCCTCAGGTTGACCCCGGGCCGGGACCTGGGCGGTGGACCATGGACCAGGCCCTGAATGGCGACGGCACGCGGCGGGAAGGTACAACTAAGAGGTTTGGAGGTGTGGACTTTCTTCTCTGGTAAGGATGGAAGTTCTTTCTGGACGCGAACTGGGGCCATATGAACATGGGTCATGGGACATGGATGTAAGGAGGCTGGGGCCCTTGCCTTCTTTGGGTCTTTGAGAAGAGACTCTCACACTCGGAGGGAAAAGGAAAGAGGTGAAAGCGCACCAGCAAAAAAGAAAGTTGCCCACCTCGCGGCCATCACCCATCTGCAGGAAAGCCATCCGCGACCTTCTCTCCAATGAGAAAGAGAGACTACCAGAGAACCGTCAGCTGTGGTCGATGTGAGTGGCTGCGCTACCCAACAGGCACAAGAGGCTACTCCAGTCTGGCCCCCCATCTGTGTGGGCAGCCGCTCAGAGACTTGGGTACATGCTATGTATTCCGTAGGTGCTGCAAGTTGTAACTAGGAAGGTAAAGAAAGTTGACGGTAGGAACAACCGGTACGTACTGCCCCCTCGTACCTGGCAACGTACCAGCTACCCCTGCTCTTCACAATAACTTGGGAAGCAACGGCCACCGGAATTGTCAGAAACAGGCAAGGCGCTTTGAGTATTCAAAATTGGTGGAGCAGGGGAGCAACTAGCAGCTGACAGGGGTGTCTCAGGGTCTCCCCTCGTCGGCCATGGATCAAACTGCCAACACTCTTCCAATTCACTCCAGGTCCTGGCCGTCCAATCCTCTCTTATCGTTGGTTCCTACTCCGTTTTCTCTCCATTCGAATCTGTCCCCTCCCGTCGCCGTGGATATATCCTATTTGCATAAACCACAATAAACCCCTTCATCGCAGCCGTGGGCCGTCGCCGCCAGCAGGAACTTCCCCCTTTCATGGGCATACGGGGTACTGTGTAGACAAGGCTTGTAGTTCGGCTCGTTAACTTAACGTCAAGGCTGTCACCGTTGTTTTTTGATCAACATCTGCTCGGAACATTTCCTAACAATGTTCCGTCCCGAGTACTTGGAATCCAAGCGCCTCGACGCCGGCAGATTCTACGGATACATCTGGAGAGAAGGGAAGACGGTTGGTCACCTACCGTTTCTTTCCGCCTCCTTTTCATCTCCTAAACTTCGCTCTCAGAGACACTCAATCCTAGGGCACCAAGCCATCCTACCATCCATTTCTATTTTCAAACTTCCACTGCTCACGTCTACGTTGTATTTACGGCGTCACGACACCAATGTGCTGGCAATGGGGGCAATGAAAACAAACACCACCTGAAGCTGACGAGGAAGACTGGGAACATGAATGCAATGGCTTCCACCATGAAGGGACCATCCCTCTTTCCCCGGCTTTGTCAGGCCAGTGCGGCAATGGCGGGAAACCAGCCGTCGGCAACACGTCCTCCTCGTCGTTGATCAATCTTCACACCACATGGTCTTCCTTGTCGAAGCTTTATTATCGCGATGGTTGGCCCGTTCGTGCCACTCGCTGCCATCCCATCTTCGAGAATGGCTCTGATGGGAGGTCTAGCCAGATCGCTCAGCATGTCAACAACAAGACTGAAGAAACCCATCAACTACTAACGCTCGTGACAGCGTTGGCAAGGGAGAGCCATGTCTCGAGAAACCATGTGCCGATACACGCTTGTTGGCAGACTGTCTCACGGCTATCGACTCGTGTTTCAACTCACTTTGCCCTACACACTCAGTTCCTCAGCTTCTTCAAGACACCTCGCAGGCTCACAGTCAGTACGGATACGAATACCTACACGCCGTCCAAGCCGTTTCCCCTCATCCATCCGTTGTGATCTTGATGCATTTCCTGGGGTACGGGCGGCACCCTCCCCGTCCGAACACGATTCATAAGACGGTTGTGGGCGACAGCTCACAAACTGGCCGGGGCAGGACGGCCGAAATCGGCAAGGTGGACAACTGCATCCACCAGAGAACGATCAATTAGGAAACGGGCGACAATCTGCACAACGAGACTCATTATGTTTGCACGGCGACTGAGCGTCGGTGTGGTGGCTTTCTCACCACCAGGCTTGTGCAGGTACATGTGTCCGCGGAGTCACACTGCAGCAGCACGGCTGTGGCGCGGCGCAACACACTGGTTGCTGCTCACAGACTGCAGTTATGACCATGACATTGGCATTGCCATTCAAGTTCCAACAAGATAATGACGCGAGTGTCAAACTGCGGGCTTCCATCATCGTCAGCCCAAGAACAGAGCTTCATAAGCTAACTGAGCATAAACATGGTATCCATTCAGCGAAGAAACATCCACAAACTGCCGAATAGACTCGAGGGGCAACCAAGGCGGTTGACAAAGCGGAGTACTAGGCGAAATTACCACGACTTCGCGCATGTCTCAACCCAGCGATACTGTGCTCTGATTGGTGAGGCTCACAATGCTCCAGGATTACAGCAGGGGTTGCGAATACAGCGGGGAAAGAGCAGCGCAACTCCATCGCTCCCTGACCCAGAAACCGCGTCGGCTACTGGCGATACCAGCGTTTGTGAAATGAAAGATGGTCCCAGCGCTGCCTTTATCTTGCGTGGCACGGACAAGGCCTAGCCACTTCGTCGGATTGTTCCCAAGGATGAACGCGCCGTTTGGACGATCTACCCAATGACAGCTCGCCTCCATTCCAACTCCATCATATCTCAATTAGGTCGCCAGTCAGCAGCGCCGAGTTCTCGACTTGAGCGTTCGAAGCTTCGAGTGCGAATTGTCCAACACTCGAGTCCGATAATAATGCCGATCATTATTGTGCTTCTCGCCGGACCATCTGCGGAATTCGGTATCCGTAGACCAAGATTTCGGCCGTTTGTTCATCACGCGGCCAGCCGCTCCCGCTGTCACGGAGAACTCACTCAACCCTAAATCGAAGCACGTGCAATGATCAACAAACAAAAATAGAATTCGCGTGGGATGAGTGAGAAACATCGCAAATCGTCAAGTTTGAGGGTCTTTACCCGCTCGTCCCATTTTCACTGCCAATCGCTTGTTACAATACACGTCAGCAGACCATGGAACAGTTCGGATCCGAGATCAAATCCCGACTTCGGGTAAGCACGCTGAAAGTCTATATACATACGGCTCGCGGCTATGAGGCACAGCTGGGTTGTGCGTAAGAAGTTCCTTGCCGTCTGTCCTCAGTTGTGACGACAGTCTCATCTTCCCTATTGAGTGCCCGCGGTGCTGTGGGTGAGGATGATCCCTTGCATCGACATTTCCGTACTTGGCAGTCACATACGGAGTGTCCGCGCATACTGCCTCAGTCCAGGTTCAATCGGGCGCGACAACTCCAGGCCTTTGCCACAGTTTGGACCGCTCTTTCATACCTTGAGACACCGACGCCACGCAATATGGTTTATCTTGCACGTCGTGGGAAGTAGAAGGATCCGAGCGTGCATGTTGCCGCTGAGTCTGAGGCTACAACGCCCTCCCATTGGCTTGGTGTTGGCTCGTCGTCGAAAGCTACCAGCTACCATGCTTCCTTCTTCAAAAACGTGGCAAGCATTTGCCCCATCGAACTATAAAACCTATCCACACGTTCAACAAAGATCAACAAAGAAACGTTTCTGACTTGAGACCGTTAAGTGCTGGGTGGGCACTACACTGTTTTATTAAAACTGTATTCTTGTACTTGTGACTCAGAAAGAATTAACTTTCTTCGATAACAAGGTACTCAGACTTGAGACCGTTGCTCACTACGCTACTGCACATAACGGCGTTCGAGCGACTAGGTATCTCTTAAGTACCTAGTACACTTTACAGCTCAGAGTGTCTTGATTGCCGTGTCGGAGGAAAATTTCAAAGGAAGCGGCTCCGTTGTCGAATTGAGGAACGGCGGCTGTCGGCAACTACTTGCGGAGCGGCGTCCGAGAGACGACATGCGGCAATCATTCTTCGATTGTTGCGGTCTCGCCGTTATTGCCTTTTATGCGGCGAAACGGTGGTGTCACATCGGTTGATAAACTGCGGCTGACACAGCTACGACTCAATCATAGCAAGTTCATGCTAATCGAATAGACGCATAACTCCGGATACTACTACTCCGGACTCATCACTCGGGGGAAATTGTTCCTATGACTCGAAGAATACGTTGCCTGATTGGTCTATAGTCCAAGAAAGCTTGAACATTGTTCTTCAATCGGTAGATGATCCTAGACGATCTGATGTCTGACATTCGGGTCTGTTAATGACATTGCATTAAGGCACTCATTCTGATCGTTTGGTCACAGCAGTACAGTAAAGCGGCGTTGTCGCAACGTCAATATGCGTCAAACCCCCATGGGTGACGGTCATATCAACCGACACATTCATTCGAGAGGTTTTCGACGTAGTTTTGCGTTCTCTGGACAGCACGTCTGCTCCAAGTCTTTTGTTATATCGAAGAAGATTTTACGGCGTTGGAAATCATCTCCATCCCGTCCAATGTCGATACGAAAAATTCCCATGGACATGTTCTCACGCAGTCCAACCATGCCTGACAGCCATGTTGATTTCAAACAATAATCATCACCTGTGCCTGCTTCGAATTCTCTTCTAGGTCACAGAACTCTTCAGCACAACCCTAATGGGAAAAAGTTGCTGCGCAAGCGGTGTTAAGCTCAAGTGTCCATGGCCACACACTACATTGGGTTTTGACGATGAATTGTGTATCGACGGGTCTGATCAGCATCACGAGTCTTGGACGAAAAAGCTTGATTGTCTGGCCGTTTGACTCGACGAGGTTATACCACTGAGCTACATGTGGGCTTCATTGTCTGTCAAGCCCATGGTCCTTCAGTAGCATCATCTGACCTTCCAAGGGGCTACAGGGACATTCATTCTGACATCGATAGCCTTTTCGAGAGCGCCGCATTGTGAATTGGACACGCCTAAACGAATCACGGGACACATCTTGATGATACACATCAACAAAAAAAAAGCTCGCCCATGCCATTTATTTCAATGAGTAACGGTATTTCGATATGGTCAAGGTGAGCCACATTGTTCAAAAAATGCATACGGGCGAAGACCAAAACGAGTATTCATCGCCAGACTTGCTCTTGTTCAGTTTTCCAGCAAATTACTGTCTAGAAACTCTGGATTCGACATAGCTCATAAAGCGATTTTCACGAGCCGTTATTTCCGACAATTGTACACACAAAGTCGGAGTCCGGTCAGCACCGGTCCCTCACTTTCAAGGTCCGTGAGCGTGGCTCCCCAGCCATCGACATCGCTCGCTGCGGGACTAACGGCCGCGCACGTCCAAGAGGGATGCGGACCACCGACGTTGACTGTCCCAGGTAGACTGGCAAGGGACCGATGGGAAACATGTTTCTGCACCGCAGCCCTACTGTGCAATGACATGCCCTCTTCCTCTTTCCCCGATCTATAGTTAACGGCGATGATATGGGCCCAAACACCTACAGCCTTGCTCTGCGTTAGTTTGACTGGGGCTGAGTTGTCTCGCAAGTTTCCGACATGTGCGAACTCCTTCTCTGTTCTCAAGCATCCGAGCCTACAGAAATCTTACATGTTGCGTGCCGCGTGCCGCCGCAAGCGTGAAGCGAACGCGATGGTCTCAAGGGGCAAGGCTCTACTTCTTAGGCTCGCGATTCGCTTCTCGGGTCGATCCTACGACTTCAAGCATGATGGGTAATAGAGGCTGAATTTAAGGAAGAGGCCGACTACTACAATTGAAGAGGAGGAGAGTATGGGGTATGAGAGGCAATATACTGTCATCTCGTTTCCTCACAACGCCATTCTATCTATGAGACGAACTCCCACCACTCGTCACTCTCGCCCATTTTTCGAGAACACCAAAAAAGACCGCACAAACTTATCAGCGAGAGCCAATCCGACTCTTTCTCGCTCTCAGCTCTTCTCAGCTCTTGCAACAGGCTGAAACCCGCATCCGCCTTTACCTTTGCCTCGTCCGTCACTCTTCTCTTCCCCCATGTCCGTGCCGAATAGCTCACATAGACCAACGCACCCTTCGCCGACGCTAAGGAAGAATGCACTCGAAGCTCAGACGAATATGTTTCCGTACGGCAAACACGATGATAAAGAATTGCTCTTACCCCGGTCTTTTCCAAGAAACTAGTCGTACGCAATGGAGGGGGAGAGAGGATTCCTTCCTCTCTTTTGACTTACATTCGGCGTGGCTTTTACGTCTGGTTTGGATCCCCTCCTTCCCCTTAGCACGAGTATGAGCATGAGCACTGGCTGCCAAGCATCCTCGACTGTCCAGCTCATTCAGCCTCCTCCTCCCTGGTTATAGCTGTTCTGCAGGTGCTGCTTGGCTTGCCAGCAGCTTCAGGCCTGCGAATAGTTACTAGTCCTGACAGGTACTTTGTCAGAATGGCGGCACTCATACCCATTGGGGCTCCGGTTCGTCTACCCCCTATTCCCTCTCCCTTTCTATCCAGCATTGCAAAGAAAAGAGGACCTCACAGCTAACATTGTGAACTCCTCTCCGCCTACTAGCTGCCTCTGTATGGACCTCCTTACCCCCCACAAGTGGCCGCCCTGGGTCTCATCCCAGACGTGAGGGTAGACGTCCCGATCTGCATCATCCTCATCATCTTCTTCTTCGCCGCCGCCCTCCTCAACGGCGCAATCTTCCTCCGAAACAATGCCCGGGGCCACAAGTTCCTTCCCTCGGGTGTCCTCGTCGGCTTCTGCATCACCCGCATCATTGCCCTCTCCCTCCGCATCGCCTGGGCCACCCAGCCCTGGAACGTCTCCCTCAACATCGCGGCAGCCGTCTTCGCCGCCGCCGGCGTCGTCCTCCTCTTCATCCTCAACCTCCTCTTCACCCACCGCCTCCTCCGCGGCCTCCACCCCAACATTGGCTGGCTGCCCGCCGTCAACGTCTTCTTCCTCTTCACCTACTTCCTCATCTTCGTCTGCCTCGTCTGCGCCATCACCGCCCTCGTCGTCAGCTTCTACACCCTCGACCCGGTAAGCCTCTACGACTGCCGCGTCGTCCAGCTCTTCACCTCCACCACACTAGCCCTCATCGCCTTCCTCCCCATCCCCATCCTCCTCTTCGCCGCCTTCTACCCCGGTCTCCGCCGCCCCGAGCCCTTCGGCTACGGCTCCCTCACCACCAAAATCATCCTCGTCCTCACCGCCGCGACCCTCATGACCATCGGCGCCGCCTACCGCTGCGCCGTAAACTACGCCGTCCGCCCCGTCCTCTTCCCCGGCTGGTGGCATCACAAAGCCTGCTACTACATCTTCAACTATGACCTCGAACTCGTCGTTATCTTCCTCTACGCCCTCTTCCGCTTCGACCTCCGCTTCCACGTCCCCGACGGCGCCTGCAAGCCGGGCCACTACGCAAAGGGCCAGCACGCCTACAAACGCGTCAGCACCCTCACCGTCCGCGAAAGGTTCCGAGGCGGCCGCAGCGGCCGCCACGAAGGGCGCCATGGCGTCATCAGCTCCTTCTCCAGACGGACCACGACGGCGGTGCGAGGACGAGCCTCGTCTCGCACAGAGTACTTCACCCCGAGCGGCTACCTCGCCACCGACTACACCCGGAGCAGCTACTTTACAGGGTCCGGAGATAGCCGAAGCGGCTACTTTGGCGGGACGCGCTCGTCGGGCAGCAGTCGGTCCGAGGAGATCAGCAACGAGATCAACACGGGTATAGGCGGTCTAGGCATCGGGGGAAGGAGGAGAGAGATCTTCCGGGAGCGTGTGGTCGTCGAGAAGAAGGTGAGAAGGGGTCGACCGACCAGGAGGAAGACGAGCGAGGAGAGGAGGCGAAGTCATGAACGTCGGCGTCGGCGGCGTAGGAGGTGAGGAAGCATCGTAGGGTACGCTACGTCCGACATATGGTGCAGGAGAGATAATGTGTGATGATGACGATGCATATTTGGGAGGTTCCAAATACGGACCTACAGGCGCAAGGCGATCATTTATCGTGTGCTTGAATAAAATAG